GGCCCAAGGCACCTGCCTCCCCTTCTAGAAGCATTTGCTTCACGATACCTTTCACGGCTTCCCTCTCCCTCATTAACTACTCCTCAACACCCTCCTTCCGTTCTAAATATTAGAGTTCCTCAGTGCTCCATTCTAGGTCTTCTCTAGGTGCTATTCTTAGATGACCTCATCCGTTCCTAGGGCATTTCCAACCACAGCTGATCACGCCTAAATTTTTCTCCAGTCCTGACTGGCCCATGTTACCTACTCCATTTCTTCTTGGACAGCTGAGTAAAAACCAGACAAGTCTTTGCAATGGCTTCTGACACCCTGCACCATCTGGTCCCAACCTCACCTCATCTTGTATTATTCTCCCTGCAATGTGCTAAAGCTCCAGTCATGCCAGCCTTCTTTCATTTCCCACCCCAGGACCTTGGCACATGCTGCCCCACCTAATCAGAATACTCCTCTCCCATTCTCTTTCTGATTTTCAGCTTAAACACCTCCTTCTCTATAATGCACTTCCTGTCCACCCTATCTAAAGACACCTCCAACTTTTATTTTCTACTTCGTCACCTTGTTGGTTTTCTTTTGAAAGAAAATTACTCAATGTGATACTCCTGCTAAATTACAAGCTCAGGGCAAGGCCACATGTGTCTCATTAGCTGTTATACCCTAAGCGCCTTGCGGTGTCCAGAGCACATAACAGGTGCTCAATAAACATCTATCAAATTAATGAATGCACACGTGCCCCGACGTCTCAGTCTTGCCCAAGATCTTAAGTCATGTTATTCTCAGCGCTTCCTTCACCTCTTCTCCCAAGGCCTCCCTCCTTGTCCCTTTTCCTCGGATCACCCCAAACCTCCTGCTTTTTGCCCCCCCCAGTCTCATGACCTCATCCCCGACCCCCACAATTCCCTTATTTTTTGGGCTTCCCCCACACTTGGTGGTATCCACCCCAAGCCTTCCCCCTGGCAGCGCCATCACTGCCCAGCCACATGTCACTGGCTGGTAGCGCCCTCATCAGGCCTCACCACCAGGTAGCACCTCTTTCCAGGTCTCGCTTTTGGTGGCGCCCACATCCTGGTCCCCCTTCCGCCCCACGCCCGGTAGCGCCCGCCTCAGTCTCCCCGTTCAGTAGAGCCCGCTCGGCAGCCACCGCCGGGTAGCAGCCCTTCTCCCCGGAGCCCCCTCTGTCGCCCCTTGGTAGCGCCACCCCGGGCCTCCCCGCGCCGGGTCACTTGGTAGTGCCTGCCCCGCGCCCAGGCTGCCGCTCCGCGTTGCCATGGTTCCGCGCGGGCCTGGCACCCCCGGCCTGGGCCGCTGTCCACCCTCCCTCGCCGCGTCCGGGCCGGGCGCACCTTTGAAGTAGTCGTTGGCCTGCGTCTTGAGCTCCTCTGCCCGCTTCAGAGCGCCATCAGCCGGGGGCTCATCCCGGGCGGGCTCAGCACACTCAGTCCGCTCGCCCTCCGCCATCGCCATGCCGCAAAGCGACCCCCACCCTGGCAACGGCCGCTAGCGGCGCCCGGCCGAACCGTCGCGAAGGAGCGCCGAGTGACCGCCGCCGCTGCCGCACAAGTGTCGTAAAGCGCGGGCCCCGAAGGCGCCCTTGGCGCGCCTGCGCAGGATCCCCCTCGCCATAGAGCGCGCGGAGGACAAGGTGACCAGAGGGTCCCCAGACAGCGCCCCTTGTAGGATGAGCCAATGAGGAAAGCGAAAGGGGCGCGCGGGGAAAAAAGGCCCGGCGTGGCCCCTGCTCCCAAGGTTACCGTGTTCCGGGGCCGCCAAAGTTTCTTGGGTCTTAAGGACCCCGCCGTCCTTTCGGGTTGACGGGTGGGTGGCAGAAGCAGGTGGCAGGCGGGGCTGCCATTCTAGGCAGCGGAGCCAGACCCGGGCGTCCAGCCACCGCCAATTTTTGTGTGACCTTGAACAAATCTGCCCCCGGCCCCCCACCCCTCCCAGTGCCTCAGTGACCCCTCCGGAAAATGGGTGCTTCCCAAAGTCCCAACCTCGCGGCTCGGGGGTTCTGATTGTTAACTGAGGACACCCCGAGCCCCAAGGAGCCTCGTTTGTCGCACTGTGTTCGTTCCCTTCTGTGTATTCAGCTCCCCAGATCCTGCTGAATCTTGGTGGTGACCGTCGCCCATCGGTGGTCGCTTTCTCTCCCCACCCTCCACTTTACCCTCCGTATGGCCGCCGCGGGGGTCCTCCCTCGCTCCCCAGGGGGGCCTCAGGAGAAGACCCTGGAGACCCTCTGCTGTCCAGCCTCAGGCAAACTTTCCGGTCCCGCCCCCTCGGGGCCCTGCACGTTTTATCTTCTGTGCAGCTTTTCCAAACCCGGGGCCTCCACGCAAACGGGGGCACCACGTCCTTTAAGGCTCTGCTGTCGTTCCCCACTTGGAAGCATAATCTGTCCCACCCAAACCTCTTGTCCCATCATCTGGCCCACCTTTCCCACCACGGCCAGCAGTCACCCTAGAAGGTAGGTGCTAACGTCATCTTCATTTTACACATGGTGGTTTGCAGGGATCAACCTACAAGGTCACACTGAGAAGAAGAGACAGGCAGGATTTAAACCCATCTCATCAAATTCCTGTGCTCTTCATTTCTGCTCTACTATAGGTACCAGAGCCAGCCTTGTGTGTTCCTGAATTTTTCTTTTCTGTCTTTTTTTTTTTTTGAGGGGAGGGGTGTTCTGCCCTAATCCAGCTCAGGCTGGATTCACACAGTTAAGGCTGTGTGACCTTGGGCAAGTGATCACCCTCTCTGAACCCATTTGATGGGGTCCAGTGGGGCTAGTAATGGTGCCCATCACACAGGATTAGAGGAGGTTTTATAAGATCACATGAGCACAGTATTTGGCTGAGGGACTGAAACAGACTAAATACTTTTTATATTTACTCCATTGCAAGGGACAGTGCCTAGTGCTACAATGGGAGGGGGGGGGTGTTTCAGAGGATCTAGGAGGACCTTGTCCAGCTGGACAGGCAGGGAAGGCTTCCTGGAGGAGGGGTGCCTTAACCAGGATCTGAGGGGAGGAAGGCATTTGAAGCAGGGGGGGGGGCACAAATACAAGGCTCAAAAGGAGTTTCCTTCCCTTGAAAAGATTCCTACATGGAACACAGGAGAGCGGTATGGGGGGGACAGCAGAGAGACACGACAGAACAGACACTTCTTCCCACACGGATCTGCAGACACAGTCGCTCTTGAGTGCACACGTGCTCACTGGAGTACAGAGAATCATGTTACAGACACACATTGGTCCCTGGAACTAGTGTCAAACAGCCCCACGCATGCACACAGCAACACACACACACACACACACACACAGACACTGAATCATCTCCCCCAGAGACTCACCTACACGTAGAAGGAATGACACCACCAGGCACACACATTGAGACCCACGGAGGAGCTCGGGCCCCTTCACACACACACACAGGATCAGAAAGTGAGGCGGACACCCATCCTCCCCTGAAGCCACCCCACAGATGACTCAGTGCACAGAGCTGTGGTGCCCACCAAGGCGAGGTCTTTATGTGATGGCAGGGACATCAGTGGGATCCAGAGTCTCTTCCCTTCCCCTAGCCCAACATAGCTCCCTCCGTGGAGGGCTCGGGTCACCCCCTGAGAGGGGAGGGGTCCGACCTGTCAGATCCTTTCCCCTCATAGCACCAGTCTGGACAGGCCACTCCCTGACAGAGAAGTGGGCAGTGCCTTCCAAAGAGGGGGTGAGTGGGGCTGAGTGCGGGGGCTTCCTGTGGAGAGTAAGAGTAGCACCATCGTGAAGGGAGCTGGGGGGCAGGAGGGCACGCAGCTGTGGTGGAGAGCTGAGGAGTCCCGGCCTCCCTCCCCTCCACCTATGCAGACAGGCTGTGCGCAGGCCTGCGGCTGGGGAAGGCTCTGGTGGCCCCCAGGCGCCTGGGGGAAGCCAGGTAAGTGCTATCTGGAGGGCTGGGGTAGGGAGGGGAGGGCTTCTAGGACAGGGAGACCTCAGGAGGTGAGGCTGAGAGGCCTGAGCGTGAAGTTCGGGAGCAGAGGTCCCGGAGGGTGGAGACCTGGGAGGGAAGACTGGAGGCAGAGGGTGGTTGGTGCAAGTTCAGGGCCCACGGTGGGGGTGGGGTCTGGAATGAGAGTCAGGGCTTGTGAGATCCGAGGCCAGAGCAGTCCACGGGGCAAAGCTAGATTCTAGAATCAGATTCTAGAAGCACGTGGAGGCTGAGTTCTAGAAACTGAGGAATTTGAGTCTGAAATCAGAGGCAGTTGGAAGCTGTAGCCTAGAACCACAAGAATTTATAGAGTGATGAGAGAATTAGCAAATGTCCCCAGACCAAGTTCCAGAACACAGGGACTGTGGAATCCTAAGATCCAGAATCAGGAGGAGGTGGGATTATAAGGGCCAGAACCACAGAAATCTATGAGGCAAAGGCCTATAATCCGATCTTTGAAGGTGAGTTCTAGACCCGGGGTTATGTGGAGCCACGTGATCCAGAGGGGGAGCTGGAAGACATGACGTCTAGAACCCAGGGAACGCAGGGGCCGCAGTCTAGAATGAGAAGACAGGCACAGCTCCGTTCTAGAACCAGAGAGGTCACAGGCAATGATCTGGGATCAGAGGACCCTGACGGCTGCAAGGTCAAGAGGTTGTGCAATCTAGAACCAGTGAATGGCGGAGGTCACAAGGTCTAGAACCTGAGAAAACTGGCACACGGTATCTGGCTCTGGACAGCCGGCACCAGATCAAGACACACACTCACTGCACCTCTTAGGGAAAGTGAGTCTTGAGTGTAGAGAGGTGAAGAGGAATGAGCTGTGTCCACGAGGTTAGGAACTAAGATGATTTAGAAATTAGGAGGCCGAGATTGGGAACCCAATGTATTTCAGATCAGGAAAAACTAGAACCAAGGAAGCCTGGACTCGTGGGGTCCACAACCCAGGAAGGCTGGGTAGGGTGGCTCCCAGTGGCTTAGGAGGCTGAGGCAGGAGGACTGCCAGTTCAAAGCCAGCCTCAGCATCTTAGCAAGGCCCTGTCTCTGAATAAAAAATAAAAAGGGCTGGATGTGGCTCAGTGGTTAAGTGCTCCTGGTTCCATCCCCTGTGCCTGAAACCAAACGAAAAACTAAAAGAGGGAGTTAGGGAATGAGTTCTAGAACAGCAGTGCTCACGGGCTTGAAGCTGGAGGGAGTCGGAGGTTTGTGACCCAGAGCATTTCTCTGGAGATCGGGAGGCGTAAACACAGGCAGCATCGGGAAGTTGTGAGTTTAGAACGAGAAAGAGCCAAAGGCTGTGAGATCTGGAATCAGGGGTCTGGGGGCTGCTGGGCTCCACCGCAGACCATGCTCGAGGGCCAGGGGAGGCTGGAGGCTGCACCGTCTGGAAGCAGAGAAAGTTCCAGGCTCCCCCTGAAGTAGGAAGACGGCGAGTGGGATCACTGTGCAGCGAGGCTGGGGCAGCGGAAGTCCCCGGCAGGGCTGGGGGCAGGGCTGGGGGGCAGCTTGGGAGGTCGAGGTCCCTGGACGCGAGGTCTGACCCAGAGCTTCCCACCCGGCTGAGGCCCGAGGAGCGGGGACACTCCGAGGCCCACATTCTTCCGGAGCCCGGGCAATTCATAGTGATTAAAACCACATCATGAAAACACAAAAGTAAAAACGATGATAAAGGAAGGACAGAAAGACGCGACTGTGGCCACGCGGCTCCCTGACCCGGCCCTCCCAGCCGGTCCCAGGGGAGCCCGAGTGCTGCCCCGGGGAGTGAGGTAACCAGGGGTCCTGAGAGGAGAGGAGGTCACTGAGCGAGGCCCGGGGTGGGGCTGAGGTAGGCCCGAGGCTGGGGGGCACTCAGGACGGAGGCCCCCTCCTTGGCTGGTGCAGGCTTGGAGTGTGGCTGGGGTCCCTTCCGGGGGGGAGGGGGAGGCGGGAGCGGCGGCTCAGCGGGCCTGGGCCAAGCCTGCCGCTGCCTGGAAGTGGCTCCTGGGCTGGACAGGATCCTGGCCTGGACAGACAGGGAGCAGCGAGGGGCCCAGGCCTGTGGGGAGACAGAGAGTCAGGGGCAGAGCCCTCAGACCTGCCTCCCTCCCGGGAGTTCAGGGCAGGGGTGAGGCTGCCCTGTTGGGCCTCCAGCAGCAGCAAACCCCCTCTGTGGCTGGGGTGCGGCTCAGTGGTGCAGCTCCGGCCTAGTAAGACCCTGGGTCTGATCCTCAGCACCACAGCACAAACAAGAGACCCCTGATCTTGTCCTAATTTGATTCTAGGTGTTGCTACTTACTTGCTGGGTGACCTGGGGCAGATGACTTCACCTCTCTGGGCCTCAGTCCTCTCATCTATAAAATGGACTAATAATAGACACCTTCCCAGGACTGCTGCAGGGTGTCATCGAGTAAAGCCACATAAAGTGCTCTGAGCGATAACTGATGTGAGTGTGTTACCTGGGAAACGGGGCTAGTCGTACTGGACTCAAGCATGAGAGCTGCTCATCCAAAACATATTTACTGAGCACCTACTAGGTGCCAGGCCCATGCCTGGTGGAGGAGCAAAGCTCCCTGCCCGGCTGGGGCTGATGCTCCAGGGCGGTGACCGTACACACATGACTTAGCACAAAGCTCGGCCCAGAGTGAGTGCTCAGCCACAGCCCAGCCCTGCACACAGAACAGCACGGCAGTGACCAAGACAGCCCTGGTCCTGCCCTCGCGGGCACAGACCCACAGGGAGAAGACAGCCTGTGGCCAAACAAGGACACACATGCCAGTGTGATGAGGGGCGTTCAAGGACGTGAGCTCCTGAGGCCATGCAGGGCTTCAAGGAAGGGGTGACATTTACCTGTCTACAGGTATAGTAACTAGGCAAAGAATGCTGGGAAGAGCCTTCCTGGCAGAGGGATCAGGATGTGCAAAGGCCCTGAGGTAGCCTCTGGAGGAAGAGAACCCTAAAGTCATAGTGTCCTACAGAGGCCCCATGCAATCCGCCCCTCACCTTTCTCTGCCTCAGCCACGTCAGCCTCCTTTTCCCCAAATAAGAGAGACGCTCCCACCTGGGACCTTTGCAACTTCTTGTTCCCTTTTCTGGGACATTCTTCCCCCAGAAATCTTCAGGGTTCACTCCTGCAGGTCTCTGCTCAACTCCCTCCTTCTCAGTGAGGCCAGCTCTGATCTAAGCCCCGGCCCACCCACAACGCTCTTTCCCCTGCACGCACATTTCCCCAGTGGCACTCGTTTTCCTCTCTTATGCTTTTTAAACTTTGAGACAGGATCTCACTCAGTTGCCAGGCTGGCCTCAGACTTGCCATCCTCCTGCCCCAGCCTCCCTGGGATTTCAGATGTGCCGCACGCCTGGCTGCGCTTCCCTTTGAACTGCATTTACTCCTTCCTTATGGTCTCTCTCTCACTGGAAATCCAGCGCCACGAAGGCTGGGGTTCCGCCTGCTTCAGCCAGTGTTTCTCTAGCACCTGGGACAGCGCTGGCACCCGCTGTGTGTGCGTGAGGGAGAGTCGGTCAGCCAGGTGAGGTGGTGGCACCCCTGTAACCCCAGGGACTGGGCGGCTGGGGCAGGAGGAGCACAAGTTGGAGGCCAGTCTGGGCAGCCGAGCAAGACCCCGTCTCAAAGTAAATAAATAAATAAGAGGCTGAGGGTGCGGTTCAGCTGTTGGGGCACCTCTGGGTTCAGATAGAGGGAGGAGAGTGGAATGAAGACGGGGAAGTGGCAGGGGAGGGACACAGAGCAGGGTGTGGCCTGAGACGAGGCTCTGCCAGGCCCTGAGGGATGGGAGCCCGAAGTAGGAAGCTTCCTCTCTTTCTGAAAGGCTCTAGAAGGGTTTTGAGCAGGAGACGGCCAGGGCCACATTGATGCTTTGGAAAGGCCCCTCGGGCTGATGCCTGGAGATGTCAGGTGAAGCTCAGCCTTTTTTTTAAAAATATGTTTTTAGTTGTCGGTGGACTCTATTTATTCATATGTGGTGCTGAGAATCGAACCCGGGGCCTCACACCTGCGAGGCCAGCGCGCTGCCCAGCCCCGCCCCAGCCTGGAGCTCGGCTCGTGATGGGAGTGGCTCACTCCTGGAGAGGCTGCGGCCAGCATCTCCACCAAAGCCACCCGGGGGACCCTGGCTGAGCGCTTACTGCGTGGCAGGTCTTGTGTGCAGCTCTGCTGGGACAAGTCCCCGGAGTCCTCAAAACCTGTCCTTCAGGTGAGAACCGTAGCCACAGGCCCCACCCGACAGACGGCAAACCAAAGCTTCCCGGAGGCAGAAACGGTCCCCAACCCGCAGGCCAGGCGTGGCCAGGGGACCCGGCTTGGACCCGGCCTGATTCGGACTCCAAGGGGCAAGGCTGCCCCTTAGGGTCTCCTCCCCGCCGCAGCCCAGGAGAAGAGGAAGGGGCAGCCTCTGCCATGGCGATCCCCTCCGGCCACCACAGTCCCCGCCACCCATCCAGCAGGAGAGGGACCCAGGGCTCTGCACTCCCAGGTCGCCACTCACCCAAGGGCTCGTTCACGTCCAGGAGGCGGCTGCCGGGATCCTGCTGGCTCCCAGGGGCTGCTGCTCCTGTCAGAAGGAAACTCTGAGGGAGAGACAGAGTGGCCACCGTCACCACTGTCACCACCGTCACTACCCTCACCACCCCACCCCCATCGATGTCCAAGGGGGCAGGTGGCACAGTGGTAGTTACGGCCACTCCTGGGGTCCAGTGGCCACCTGTCACTGTGTGACTGTGGGCAAGTCACTGTCCCAGACACCTGTGTTTCCCTAGAGCCTCATTTTCTCCCCCTTCTTCCGCCCTGGGAGGCGGCTCTGTGGGCGGCGTCCACCTTGCTGCGGTTCCTGGGCTCAGCGGCCAGGAGGTGGGGGTGGGAGAGGGAACTCTAGTTGCTCTAGTTGCTCCCCTGCTGGGTCGCTGTGGGTGAGCTCTATTAAGGCTCCCTATTCTCCCCAGGACCCAGAGGTCACCCCTGTCACCTTGTGGCCAGGGTTAGTGCTGCACCAGCTGGTTCCCTGCACCCTGGCCGTCCCCTGTGAGTTTCCTGCCTAGATTCCCACGAGGAAAGGTGTTGGCCCTCATGTGTACAAATGGGCATCGTGACGACGACGACACTCCAAGAGTGGTCACGGGGGTAGGTAAGTTAACCATGCGAGGCACGTGGTGAGTCAGCAGCTGCGCATAGTAGGCACTCAATAAATGGAAGCTCTTGATAATATCCTCCACACCCCTCAAGTTCAAAAAGCCCTCTGTAGATCGAGGGGCAAGAGAGCTCTTCTCTGGACACCATGGAAGGTCCTGGAGGGAGCCTTGTGGAAGGGACACGTCCAGGCTGGCTTTAGAAAGGACACCCTGTTTGCTGTTGTGCAGTGTGGACAGCAGGGTGAGGCTGGAGGCAAGGAGACTGGAGGGGAGGCTGCTTGGTTTAGTTGGGTTGGGCATACATCAGCGACCGCCCACAGTCATCTGGGGGCCTGATCTCACCGAGTCCCCATGACAGTCCTGTGAAATGTAATCAGCGCCATTGTCCAAAGGAGGAAACTGAGGGTCAGGGTGGTAACACGACCTGCCCAAGTTCTTGGGCAGATCTGGGGCCTGAAGCCAGTCTGGCTCTAAGGTGTGTACGTTCAGCCCCACGCTGGGAATCCAAGGCCGGGCCCGCTCCTGTCTTGGGAGGGTCCCCTGCTGGTGCTGGCCACCCGCACCTCTCCCCTCACCCTGCTCACGTTTCTTCGTGGCACTAATCATGGATTGGCAACGCCTTCTCATACCCATGAGCAGAACTAGAAGATCAAGGTCCTGGTTCAGCGGGACCGTTGATCTTGCGTTTGACCTTCAGCCGGCCCCTGGCCCTCTCTGGTTTGCCCATCTATAAAACAGGAGGTTTGAGCCTGCTGGCTCCGAGGGGAACCCCACCAGCCCCAAACATACCAGGCTGAGGGGAGGCAGCAGGAAGCTCTCGGGCTGTAGGCTGGGGGGCCGCTTGGGGGGTCTCACTCCCAGCAGCTCCACCCCCTCGTCCACTGGGCTGTGGGCCAGGGCCCTGGGGAACAACAGGCAAGACTCAGAACACAACAGACCCGGGGCAGGGCTGCACCTGTGCCCCCAACTCACGCCACGCACCGACCGGCCCGGCGACCCATCAGCTGCCCGCCCAGCCAACTCCTCGCCATCGCCCTCACCCGCATCCACCCACCCACTTGTCCATCTGTCCACCGACTCACATGCTCATTAATTCCCCCTTCCTTCATTTAATAAGTCTTTATTAGGCACCTCCCAAGCTGGGAGCCTTGGGCAACATGGAGATGTAGCCATAAAAGTCTCACGAGGATAGAGAAGGGACCTCTCTGGAGACCAAATAGGCAACAGCCGCCTCTCGGACAGCGGAGACTAGTCATCTAAGGTCGTTGGAGGGGGACCCCGCGACACTTTGTGTGGGTGTACATTTTCTAAGAAGGGAGTCTACAGCTTCCAACAGGTTCTGGGTGGGGATGCGGTTCAGCGGTGAGGCCCTGGGTTCCCCCCAGCACCACACACACACACACACACACACACACACACACACACACACACGTCACTTCACCAGCGCCCACGGGTGTTGGGAGACAGTTCTAGGCACCGCTGGATGAACCCGCTGGTGCTTCACCGTGAGCTCCACGACCCCAGGCCTTTTGAGACAGGGTCCCACTAAGTTGCTTAGGGCCTTGATAATTTGCCGAGGCTGGCCTCCCCCTTGAGATCCCCCTGCCTCAGTCTCCCAAGCTGCTGGGATCACAGGTGTGCACCACCTGTTACTGTGAGAGAAACTGTCCCCGAGTCAGACTACGTTCCGAAGGAGTAATCCTGGCTGAGGTGGGGTGGGGGTTGGCAGTGAGCGTCGCAGAGGGTGCTCCAGGGTGACAGCTTAGGAAAAGGCAGAGAGTTTGGAACAAACTTCGCTTGTGCTGGGGACAGTGAAGCCCTGGCCGGGGAAGTGCTGGGGCAGGGGGATGACTGTTGTGGGAAAGGCTGAAGGAGGGGGCAGGGCAAGGCAGGGATGGGGACCGTCCACCTTCACTCCCGCCTCCTTTACTCTGGCTCACCTCTTCCGAGCCCCGGCCGTGGGGCCGGATGCTGAGGGGTCCCCTCTGGAGGGGCTGGAGCAGTTCAGACGGGGGTCACTCCCCCAGCGGGGCAGCAGGGAGGACTCGGGGGTCAGGGGCAACAGGCCGTGGAAGCTCCGCGCGCGGGGCCGGCGCACAGCCCCTCGGGGTCTGTGGTAGGCGCTGGGAGGCTGCTGGCTGGCGCTGAGCTGGAAGTCGTCATCCATGGAGATGTAAGGGGCCAGCATCTCCAAGTCCAGAGCATCGGCGTCCTGCAGGGGACGGGCAGGGGTAGGGAGTTAGGAGCTCAAGCCTCGGACTTTGGAGTCCCAGCTCCACCACCTCCAAGGTGCATGGCCGAGGCCAGGAGTCGGAGATTCAGATTCTGCATCTGTGAAACGGGTATAAGGACTAAGTGGTGGTCAGGCACAAGATGGCCCTCCAAGATCCTCCTCTCTGGGGAGTCCCACCCTAGCTGGTGCCCAGTGACTGGGGCTGACCTGGTCACAACAGGAGACGGTCTTCTGTGACTTCCACACTGGGTTACAAAAGGCATGGTGCTGTCCATCTCTCTCCCATCACTTCCTGACCAGCTCCATGGAGACCCCCAACCCACCCAAGGAACTAAGGAACTAAGACCTTTGCCCACAGCCCAGCGAGTGACCTGGGAAGTGAATCCTCTAGGCCTTGCCAAGTTTTCCAAGAGACCCCGAGCAGAAGCTACCAGCTAAATGGCTCCCAGACCCGAGACCCTCGGGAATGAGGTGGATTTACAAATACTCAGTGTTTGAACCTCTACGTTTGGGGTAATTGATGATCCAGAAATAGATACGAGGTTTTGATACTGAGAGTGGGGTGCTGCCATTAACCCAAATCTAAACTATAGGAGTGGCTTTGGAACTGGGCAGGGGTCAGCAGGACTGTGGAGCAGGTTGAGAAGTCTGTCGCTGCCGTGTTGACTACTCTCAGACCTGGGGCGTCCCCCAGAGTCCATGCGTTGACAGCATGGCACCTCATGTGGCAGGTCAGGGGAGGGGTTTTCGGGCACTGACCGGCTCTAGGGGCTCTGACCTCCCCAGTGGATTAATCCACCGAGACCGGATTCACTCATAATGGATCGTCAGTAGCTGAGTTCAAAGTAGCTGAATGGAGCTGCGGAGACCTGGCTGCAGGAGCAGGTCGCTGGGGCGTGCCTGGGGGGTGACCTCTCCCAGGGGCCCCTCTCCCTCTCCCTCTCTCTCCCGCTTCCCAGCTGTCATGGGCTGAGCGGCTGTCCTCCGCCAGGTCCTTCCACCTCTTGTCTCTGCAGCAGCATCAGCTGACCTGGACGAAGACCTTTAAACTGCGAGTCAAGCCCTCCTCTAAGTTGTACTTGTCAGATGTTTTGGCCACGAAAAACCTAACACAGCTTTGAAAAAAGCATCTGTCACAATCTGAACCCTGCGGCTGCGGCTGCGGGCTGAGGAGGAAGGGAGGCGAGGGGACAGGAAGCGGAGGAGAGAGCAGCACGGAAAGGAGGAAATGGAACTGGTGAGCTGGGGACCAGCCGAGGAGGCTGCAGCCAGTGTCGGGGCCCACCTAGTGCTTCCCATCCCTCCAGGTAAAAGGCAGGAGGAGACGGAGAAGCTGGAGGAGGAAACGTCACCATGAAGGAACTGGGATTCTCAAATGCGAATTTGAAAATCGTGTATGAATTTGGGCATTCTCCTCCTCTCTGTGCGCTGAAGAATTAACTTTGGGCTGGGCTTGGGGCTGGGTGGTGGAGCACTTGCCTAGCATGCGTGCGGCCCCGGGTTCCATCCCCAGCACTGCATAAAAATGAAAAAACAGAATTAACTTTCTCCCAAGTGAAGTCTTGCCTGGGGGATCAGAAAACCCCTGGAACCTCCAGGGGGAGCTGCGTCTGCTGTTCGCCATCCGCCCTTGGAGTGTGCCTGAGGGTTCTGCAGACGGGTGACCCATGAGAGTCTGTGCTGATGAGATGACCCTGAGAGACAGGGCACTGGCCCTGATAGAAAGACCAACATGTCACTCGAGAGTTGGGGCTTTGGGCCACACGGAATCAGCCTGACCCCCAGGGAAGGGGGGGGCAGCCCTGGAAACTCCATTCAATCATGGGGGCGATGACTCGGTCAGTGCAGCCTAGCCACGCCTGTTAAAACCCCTGGACAGTGAAGCCCGGTGAGCTTTCTGGGCCAGCAAGACTCCACATGCACGTTGCCAGGAGGGTAACGTGTCCCTAAGGGCAAGAAAACTTCCCACCGGAGACCCCTCCAGCCCAGATGCCACCTCCAGCCTCTCTTCCTTTGCTTCTGATCTGTATTCTTTCGATATAGTTGTTGCCAGGTGTGGTGGCGCACGCCTGTAATCCAGCAGCTCAGGAGGCTGAGGCAGGAAGATCTCAAGTTCAAGGCCAGCCTCGGCAATTTAGCGAGGCCCTAAGTAACTCAGTGAGACCCTGTCTCAAAATTAAAACTGATTTTCAATCCCTGGCACCAAAACAACAACGACAACAACAAGAACACCCCCAAACCCCACAGTTGTGAGCACAGGCCTGTGCTACGTAATGATGTCCTGGTCAACAATGGCCTGCATAGGGACTCGACTCCATAAGGTCATAGTGGAGTTGAAAGTTCCTCCCACCTAGTGACCCTATAGCTGTTGTAAGGTCATAGTGCTTTGAGTGGCCAGGTCTGTGGTGACGCTGGTGGAAACAAAGCCACCGAGTTCCTGGTCACATAGAAGCTGAGCACACACAGTGGTGTCCAGTATGAGGTACTGGATGGTGATGACTGACACCTGTGCTGCTGGCCTGCGTCTTCAGCCTGCTGGGCCTTTAGGGTTATTGTAGAGCACGTTCCTTGGACGTGCGTGAGCCAGGAATTGGAGGCCAGCCTAGGCCACAAAGCAAAACCTCCCCTAAGTAAACAGATCCGTAAATAAAGCTTGCTGTGACAATACAGTCCAGTGAGCCACGTTACACCCGCAGCAGCCTCACACACACCGCAGTTCACAGAGTGTGTCGATCACCTCCTCTTGGGCTTGATTTAATCTCTGCTGCCCGCTCTCCATGGCCCTAGAGGCCCGAGGCCATGTGTGGAGAGTACACTTTGGAGCTTAGGTGTGTGGCTGGCTGCACCACAAGATGACATGGCCTAAGGCTGCGTTCCTCAGAGTCTCCCTGTCATGAAGTGACACAGGACTGTCAAGTACCTTCCTGAACACTAGGATGGGGAGCCTGCCAGTTAGAAGTGAGAGTGGCCCTGGGGACCCCTAAACTTGCAACTGTTGTCAGAAGTCCTGGGTAGAGGTGGGCGCGGTAGCACACGCCTGTAATCCCAGTGACTTGAGAGGCTGAGGCAGGAGGATCACAAGTTGGAGGCCAGCCTCAGCAACTTAGTGAGACCCTGTCTCAAAATAAAAAAAAACAGAAAGGGGCTGGAAGTACAGCTGCTCGGTGAGAGAGCACCCTGGGTTCAGCGCCCGTGGTGGAGTTGCTGGGGGTGAAGAAAGAAACACGGATGGTACTAAATGAAAAGAGCCCTTTGGATCACCAAAGTTCTTCCTTTTTCTTTTTGTTTAAAAGTCTGAATTGGCTTCATTTTCAATTCTTGAATTTGGCAACACTTCATTCCATAAAATAGAGCAAGTATTTCTGGACCATCCAAATTCTAGACAGAGAAGCAGGTTGAAAAGCTCCGGAGGGGGCTGGGGATAGCTCGGTTGGTAGAGCGCTTGCCTGGGCCCGATCCCCAGCACCAAAAAAAAAGCTTCTGAGTTGTGAATCCGTGTCACTTTTTTTTTTTTTTTTAGATTGGGGATTGAACCAATCTGAAAAAAAAAAAAATCCCCCCACACCGTAGGGGGATTGCTCAGCCACTGAGCCACACCCCAGCCCTGTTTTTAGTTAGTTTTGAGACAGGGTCTCGCTCAGTGGCCCAGGCTGGCCTTGAACTTGCCTCAACCACCTGAGTGGTGCGCACTCTGCATAGCTGCCTGCCACACTGTAGGGGGCGGGTTCTGCATGACCAAGATGACAGAACAGGAGTGCTGCGTGTCAGATCTGAGAACAGGTCATGAGACACCGCCTTCTGTTTTGGCCTCTCCTCCTGTCTCCCTGTCTCCCTTTCTGTCTGTCTGTCTCCTGGTTGGAGTGTGCGCCTTGAGCCAGCTGCCATGTCCTGAGGACAGTTCTGCAGCCCGCGTAGTGACAAACTGAGGCCTCCACCAAAGCCAGGGAGGTGCTGGGGCCCGTCTGCACCACGCACACGAACCTGGGGACAAATCCTCTCGCCCCAGGTAGCGCTGCCTCAGAGCCCGACTTCAGCCTCTTGGGAGACCTAAGTCACCCAGCCAAGCGTCTCCCGAGGTCCTGGTTCTCAGAAACCGCGAGACATAATAAATGATGATTGTTTTATGGTGATGAGTTTTGGGTCATTTGTTATATAGCAATGGGTGGCTGGTGCACCATGTCCCCCAGTCACCTGATGGACCTGTTCAATCAAGCAACCCTTCAAATGTCATCTGTCCATTGTCACCCAGTCAATGACAATGGTCCATCTATGTAGCTATCCACCCAAACCTCCATCTGTCCATCCTTCCAAATACCTGACGAAACACTACCCATCCAGCGTCACCCCCCTAATGGATACAGTGATCCGTCTGTCCATCTGTCCACTCATCCATCCAGATATCTGCCTAAACTTCATGCATCCATCTCTGTCATCCACCTGACGAACACCATGGTCCATCTGTCCATCCACTCGTCCCTAAATCCAGAACTGTCAGTCCCCAGAGCACAGAGGAGAAGAGCTCCTGCCACGCCCGCCCTCACCTGAGCTGCGCCCAGCTCCGTCTCCGCTGCCCTGAGGATTCTCCCGCTGGGGAAGAGCCCGCGCGCCTTCTCCACGCCCACAGGTGGTTCACCTGGGAGATCAGCCTGCGGGGGACAGAGCAGGGACTTGAGGAAGTGACAACATGGACAATCTGGGGGTCAGGGTAGCAGTGGGGGTCAAGTGTGAGATGGCGGGGCCCCAAGGGGGTCAGGTAACAAAGGTAAGTGAGTCCATCCTGGTGTGGGAACGCAGAGCACCCGGGCGCCTGGGGATGGCCAGGACGACGGGGAGGGCCAGGAGGCCGAGGCCAACACCCCCAGGCCTGCAGCTCCAGGGGCCTGGAGTCCCAGCGCCTCGTCCTGGTTGCCATCCGTGTGTCTCCAGTGGCCGCCGGGCAGGGCCCTCAGCAGATAATCTCGACCCGCTGGGATCCAGGCCGGGCTGTGTGCAGGCAGTGAAGGGGGCAGCCACCAGGGTCTACCGCGCACCTGGGAGGTGGCCGGCCCCTCCAGGTGCTTCCCAGGAACACTCTCACTTAACCCACAGTGACCACAGCGTGGCCCCGGGAACACAGCGGGAGGAGCAGGTTCTGGATCTGAACCCGGGACTCTGCAAGTCAAGCTCTTAGACATTCTCCACTCTTCGGGGCGACACTCAGAGCGCCTGGTGCTTGGCCACGGCGGGACCACTGCTTGTGCCAGTTCAGACACGCTGGGGTTCCCAGCCCGGCCGAGGGCCGATTCCCCAACTTGAAGAGTCTGGGGTCCAGGTCTCAAAGGAAGCCCAGACCACCCCATCCCCCCTCCACGACTGACGGAGAAACTGGGGCCAGGGCGCAGCAAGGTCAGGCCAGAGGTGAGGGGGCTGCTTACCGGAAGAGGGCTCCGGGGACGCCGCGCAGCCTGCGGGGTGCTGGGGGTGGCGGCTCCCGAAGCTCCATCGAGGATGGGCGCCAGGAGGCGGCGGAGGTCAGGGCTGCAGAAACGGCGGGGGTCAGCGGCCAGGGTGGCCTCGCTCAGGGAAGGGGGGTGCAGGAAGGCCAGGATGCGGGGGCCGGGGGCATCTGCAGGACGGGGAGGACGTGGGTGATCATCTAGGACTGAGGGCCAGAGCCCCCCAAGCCCAGCCCAGGGGACACAACCAATCAGGATGGCCACTGTCCTTAGCGATGGGAGAAGGGCCTGCAGGACCCCTGGGGGACCCCTGTGGGGCCAGGGGTTTAGTTCCCTGATGGTGGAGGGGCCCCGGAAGGCTCTAGACAAATGGCTCAGGGGCCCCAAGTGGCGTTTGGTGATTCAGATGGGCCCAAGTCCCTGGGGATCAAGTTGGCCATCACTGAGAAGCAGAAAGGACACGAGCAATCCACCCACGTCCAGAAGCACGGACATGGAGGGAAGCCCATCCAGGATGAGGGGCCAGGAGAAGGAAGAGGGAGGAAGGGGCCAGACTCGGGGGACCCAGGTTACTGGAAGCCACAGAGTAGTGAGGTGTGGGCAATGGGGAGCCATCACAGGATACAGAGGAGGGGGGGGGACAGAGACTGAGACCATCAGATATAGAAAAGGGAGGATGAGAGAGAGAAGAGCATTCTGGGAAGGAAAACTGCATGTGCAAAGGCCCTGAGGCAAAAAAGGGTGTAGCAACATCTGAGAGCTCTGAGGAAGCCGGTGTGTTCTGGAGGGTGAGTGGAAGGACAGGAGGGCAGGAGGCAGGTCCCACAGGGCCGGGAGAGCCAAGTTAAGGTCTTAAGGTCCATGTGCTTTCTTCCAAGGGTCCTGGGGACACAACAGCTCTGCTCCATACCAAGCCTGTGCCCAGGATTAGGGGCGTCCTTCTGAGAGAGGGCACCTCCCTGCAGGGCTCTGCGAGAGTGTTGCTCCGTCTGCTCCAGGGACAGCACCACACCCGTCTCTTCCACTCGGCTGGGTACAAAGCAGACAGGGGAGTGGTGATCAGAGTGGTTCTCGGCCAAGCCCAGGCAGGCTTCAGAGGCGGGCGCCTGTGCAGGAGGCAGCTGCACCCGGGGGCCGGAGAGTGTCTCCCAGAAAGAAATTCCCCGTGATTATTTGTTTCTTATCAGGATTTGGTTTTTGTTGACTGCTTTTTATAACACGGGCCAAGTAGCCCTAATTCAAAAATCCAAGATCCTAAACCTAATGAGTGGAAAGTCCTACACCGTGAAACTTGGTGTCACACCCCAGACTACTTGACATATAGTGAAAGTGACCTTCAGGCCAGGTGCATAGCTGCACGCGAAGCACAATGGATCTTGTGTTTAGATCTGGTCCCGTTTCCGAGACACCCCATTAAGTACATGTGCAGATACTCCAAGGTCCACAAAACCAAACACACAACCCCCTTCTGGTCTCAAGCCTGTTGGATAAGGGACGCTCAACCTGTGATGGCATTTAAAAGAAAGTTAAATTTGTCACTTCCCAAGCTCCCTCTGTGGCAGGAAAGAGAAAAAGCAGCTGGCATCTAGCGCAGGCCGAGTGGGTGGAGAGAAGGAGCCAGGAGCTGGGGTGGGGGACAGGGGGACAGAGGGGGAGGTGCAGGGACAGCGGGGAGCCCGGGCCCAGGGCGCCAGCGAGAGGCCTGAGCTAAGCAGTCTCCTTACAGATGTGCACTCATGAGCATCCGCTCCTAAACGTACCCATGAAAAGCATATTTTTAACATCTTCTTCCTTACATTACCAAATATGAAGAACTCACAGGGCCTGGTTTTTATGAATAAGGGCTTGTTTAGGGAGCTTCTATTCATAGACACTTTTCATACTCCAGGGGACGGGTTTATAAATACATCTTTCTGATGTCCCCCGCACCGCCGGTCCCACCGTCTCTGGCTATGGAGACGATCCAGATGCTCGCTGGGCGATCGTGGGGACAGTGGGTGTGGGGCTGGGGACCGCCCCTCATTTGCATCTCATCAGCATAAGCCAGGCAGGTGGGCCTGGCCTTCCCGTGGGCTCTGACCCCCTCTCCACCCTCTCGAAACCCGTCCTGCGTTGGAGACATCTCAATGTGGCCTGGACCAGAACCACACTTACCCCTTGAAACACACAGAGCACACAACCACACAAGTACACACACACGTCCCAAGAGCACCCAGTGACACACACACATACACACACACACACACGCACACAATATCATATGTTCCTAAAGTTAAGTTTACCTGCCAGAAAACTCCAAGTGACATATGTGGCCCAAACCACATTTTGATAGGATATTTACTGGGGTAAGTACCAAACAGAGAAGGGGGTTTGCAATTTTTAAAAGCTCAGTCAAGGGTGCCTGGCTGAAAACACAAGGGGGGAATTACAAATAGTTCTAAGTGAATGGGGCAAATTATAATATCAGGAGAGAAAATGGGGAGATCTGACCTTGTGTGGTCTCTCAGGAAGTGATGTCTGATTTTAAACTGAAGGGGTGAGTAGGCATGACTCAGGAGAAAGGGGAAGACCGAGAGAGGAGGAGACTGCAGGTGCAAAGGCCCTGAGGTTTGGCTGGTGAATGAGAAGGGGAGAGAGGCAGGAGTCCCATAGGGCCTTGGACTTTCTCTTAAGGATATTGGGGAGCTGCAAAAGGGTGCTCTCAGTAAGGGATGTGGGATGCAAACTACTTGAATTTCAGATACCTCCCAGATCTAGGAAAACCCCTAAGGTTTTGGAAACTGATGCCGCGTCCTGTAAGATAACCTTCAAGGAAAAGCTGTAATTGGGTACATCTGTCTTTTTGAGCGTGTGGTACTGAGGATAGAGTCCAGAGCCACTGGCCACACCTCTGACTCTGTCTTGTGATCATACGCTGTCCTTGACACCCCTGTATTTCTCAATGGTGACAAACCTCTGAGGTGTGTGACCCATCAGGAACAACTAAAATTAAAAACAAACCAAGCCAGGCGCAGTGGCCCAAGCCTGTAATCCCAGCAGCTCTGGAGGCTGAGGCAGGAGGATCTCGAGTTCAAAGCCACCCTGTCTCTAAATGAAATATAAAACAGGGCTGGGGTGTGGCTCAGTGGTGAGAGCCCCTGGGTTCCATCCCCAGGGCCTAAAAGGAAACAAAACCCTCTAGGGTCAGAGGACAGAAGAGCGGTGGCCAAGCCCTGAAAGCATCCTGGGGATGAGACGTGGAGGCAGCTGACCAGCTGACGCGGCAGGGCTTATGTCATCGCGTGCCTCTGTCAAAATGCACAGAACCGTGTGTCAAAGTGCCAACGTGCTCTGAGTGGGAACTTTAAATTTTAAAAAGACCCTGTGTCTCGGCTGCACTTAGGAATTTAACTTAGAGTTCCTTTCCACTTCTACGATCAAGACGCACACACGTGTGCACGTACAGCCACATGCATGGACATATGCCCAGGGCCTCACGCACACTCACGTGCAACACACACACACACCCGTCCACGAACACGGACAGACCCGTGCGCACAGCCTCCGCCTGGCCCGCTCACCTGATCAGGAAGTGGACGCAGACGATGCTCTCTGACTGGGGGCCCCGGCCCCCTGACACCACCGTGGCCTGGGTCTGGGTCCACAGGTAGCCACCGCTCCGGGCCAGGAAGCGATACTGCCCCGTGACTGCCTGGCCCTTGCTCAGCACTGGGGACAGGGTGGAGGGAGGTCAGGGCCACAGAAGGGGACAGGAGGCTCCGGGGTCTGGGGTGGGATGTGGGCGGGGCCAGGAGGGTGGGGTGGCCTGGGGCTTGGGGAGCAGGAATTGGGTGGGTGGGGAGGGCTCCCTGGGGTGTGGGGAGCTGGGGACGGCATTGATGGGGGGCCATGTGGCAGCTGGCTCCAGGCGGGGACTCGGGTCACATACAGGTGTGGATGCTCCTGCTGACAGCGTCGGAATCCAGGGCGTGGATGTACTCGTAGGCAGAACAGCCGATCAGGTCCTCGGGGCTATAGCCAGCGACCTCTGCGATCCTGGGGTGCAGTGGAGGGTCAGGGCTCAGGGCTGGGGCAGAGGGGGGTGGGAGGAAGAGGTGGGGACACAGGAACAAAACCAGCAAGGTGAGGGACAGGGTTGAAACAGACGAAGGGAGAGAGAAGGGAACAGGAAAAGCGAGTGTAGGAGGGTGGAGTGTGGATAACAGCCCCCCAAGTCTCCCCGTTCCAGCCCTCAGAACCTGTGAGCCTGGTGCCCTGCACGGCAAAGGGCGTTTCAGACGGGATGAAGGTGAGGACCCAGGGCGGGCAGGACCCCGGGGGTTCTTGGTAGAAGGGGGCAGGCAGTTTGGTGATGAATGGGGACTGAATGGGATAAGGGGCCAGGAGCCAGGGGACACAGGTGGCCTCAAGCAGCTGGGGACGCAGGGCAACAGGTTCTTCCCTAGGCCTCAGCAGGAACCAGCCCTAATGTTGGACTTGTCAGACTCATTTCAAATTCCTGATCTCCAGAACAGAGGGACAGGGAATTGATGTGATTTTGAGCCACTGAGTTTGTGGCCAGCAGCAATAAAAACCCAACACGAGCCAGGTGTGGTGGTGCACACCTGGGAGGCTGAGAAAGGAGGATGGCCAAGTCAGAGGCCAGGTTCAGCCACAGCAAGAACCCATCTCAACATAAAAATAGAAGGGGCTAGGGACGTGGCTCCGTGGTAAAGTGCCCCTGGGTTCCATCCCCGGCATCAAAAGCAGATCAAAACACCTGATATAAATGGAAAGGGAGAGTAAAAAAAACAAAGGGAGGAAAAAAAGTGAAACAGGAGGAAGAGAAGAAAGAAATTGCAAAGAAAAAAGAGAAGGAATAAAAAGAAATAATGATGATAATAATGAAAAAGGAGACTCTCGTGTTCTACGCTGAGCAATGCACTTGAGTGCTCAGGGTAACTCCACAAGGTAGGCACCATTATTCTCCTACAGAACAGTTGGGGGAACTGTGTACAGAGAGGTGAAGACATTTGGCCAAGGACACACAGTCAGGTGGAAACTCAAATCTGAGCCCAAAGTCAATGTTCCTGAGCATGACTCCACAGTGAGGGAAAGACGGAAAATGGAGGAAGGATGGGAAAGAAGAAAGAGAGGGAGAAAGAAAGGGCAGAAAAAGAAGAATCATGAGAGTTTATCCAGTGCGTCCTGCTGTTGGGGGGGGGGGCACGGTGCTAACTACGGTGCTAACTGCTCCACATAAACTGACTCATTTAAGAGAAGCAACAGAGGGACAGAGGGGACACGGTGAGAAAAGACGCGGAGAGAAATGGAATGAAAGGTCAAAGGCCCACAGAGATTCAGACAGGCAGACACTCAGGACGGACGGACGCACAGGGAACTGCAAACAGAACCAGAGCGTGGGGCGGGCGCGGGCGTGAATCTGGCAGAAGCGGGGCACTGCCCACCTCTCGTCGCAGTAGGTGAACTTCATGTCCAGGCTGTGGCGACTGAGGAAGGCCCCCCGGCCCAGCGGGGGCTCCAGGCTGCCCGGGTGGGGGATGGCTTCACAGATGAGCACCAGGCACTGCAGCGGGGGCTCGGCGCTGGGGCTCCCGGCGGGGGACGGCTGTGCGGGGGGCTTGTAGACCCTCATATGTCCGGAGCAGTGCAGCACCTGGGCCGGGAGAGGGGGCGCTGGGTGACCCACGGGGCTGGGAGGCAAGTCTCCGCAGGCCCCACAGGGAACAGCAGAACTCCTGACTTCAGAGTGTCACCTCAGAGAGCTCCGAGGACCCAGGTTCCAGCCCCACACGGACTCTGAAGCTCAAGTCCATAGAGATCCAGCCTGAGAGAGGTGACAAGGACCCTAGATTCCCCACCCCACGGACACCCAATTCCTAAATGCCCTAGAGTCCCCCTAGGCCCAGCTTCAATGAGCCCTGCAAAATCCTGACAGCGGACGCCCAACCTCCCCAGACCTCCGGGGGCCCAGGCCCCGCCCCCGCAGGCCCAGGCCCCGCCCCCGCAGGCCCAGGCCCCGCCCACCTTCCAGGTGGCTGCCTTGAGGTTGAGGGTGCGCCCTCTGCTGGTGAGGGTGCTCTTCATGCGCAAGGAGAAGCACCGCTCCGTGGGGGCCTCGGGCTTCTTCTTGGACAGGCCTGGGGAGGCAAGGGGATGGCGGGCAGGTCACCCGCAGCTGCAGCGGGCCCAGCGCCCTCCGGCACCTTGGCTGCTAAAGGCGCCCCATCCCTGACGCGCAGAGTGATCGTCCACGGGAAGGGTGTGTCCCTCAGTGCCAGGCAGGGGCCATTTCTCCTCTTCACTTATGCCAATCCAGTGCACCACAGGAAGAGGGGGTGCGCCGGGGTGGGGTGGGGTGAGCCTCAGCTTGCTCTCCTGTAGAGTGGGGACAGGGGCCTCCAGGGCACTCACTCGGGCTGGGGGTCAGGGCATCCTGGAGCTCCTCTTGGTCGCAGGGATGGATGAAATCAAAAACACTGTGTCCGATGAGCTCCAGCTGCCAGAGAGGGCAGAGCAGGGGTCGGAGGAAGGGCCGCCTAAGGGGGCCCCTGGCCCTTTGCCTCTTCTCTCCCTCAGCCCTGCCCCAGGTCCAGCCTGGGGTGCTCCTCTGTCTCTCATTCATTATCATGTATTCAGCACCCACTGCTTGCCAGGCCCTCCAAATGGGGGTGACCCCACACACAGAGCCCTGCCTTGCAGAGCCTACCAGCTAGTCTGGGGAGACAGACAATAAAGAAATCAAGTAAAACAACATTGAACAACGATATGATAAGCACCAGGAAGGCAATCAAAGCTGGGGAAAGTGACGAAATGATGGGAGGCTGTTTTTTTTAGAAAGAGTGGCCCCTTGAGAGTTTCTTTGACATTAAAAAAAAAAAATTGTCGAACAAATCAAGTGAGGTGGTCTTGTGGCATGGGGTGAGTGTATTCTAAAAAGGAAAGCAGCACAAGCAAAGGCCCTGAGGTGAACCATGCCTGCTAGGCAGGAGACCCAGCTGCTTGCTTCAGTCTAGGAAATGAGCCTAGTGCTGGGAGAAGGGACAGATGGACCCACAGGGGCTCCTGACCTGCTGGTGGCAGAATGACATCTCACTACCTCTTGGAAATTGGAAGCATGACTCTGCCCCTTCCTAGCTTGGGGACCTTGGGACATTCGCCTCTCTTGAGTCCAAGAGTTCACACCAACAGAGGAAGTGGTACCCGGAGTGGGGTGGGGAGACAGGGGAAGGGAACAGAGGGCCACTGTGGAGTCCATGTATGTGAAATAGAAAAAATAACAGGAATCCCCACATGGGGCTTGCTGTGGACACTGTTAACCAGCTCTGTTTTCTAAACATCTCTTGTCTCCAGTTGCCCACCCCCATGGGCCCTGCCCTCTTCTCCCACTTGTGACCCCTTGCTGATCTCCCAAACTCTAGTCACTCTCCCTCCAACTCTATCCCCAGGAGGACTCTTTCTTTCTAAAGTGTGAATCAGATTCTACCCCTCTGGCACACCCTCTCCCCTGCTTCCAGTCATTCCATGGCTCCCCAGTGCCCTGGACACAAACCTTCGAAGTTGGCCCTACACTGTCCAGCCCTTGCTCATCTCTCAACCTTCTCTCCCATCTTCTTCCACCGTGTCCTGCTCCGGCCGGGTGAACTTCTCCATCTTCCCACAGTGCTCTGCTTCTCTCCCCTCTGATCCCCTTGCACATTCTGGTTGCTCATGCAATCCTGGTCTTCGCTGGTCCCTCCCACTTCACACACCTCAGCTGGCCAGGTCCTTCAGGTTTCAGCTTGGATGTCCTTTTCTCCAGGAATCCCCAGTACCCACCGCCCCCCAGGCTTGGTCAGGTACCCTCTACCCCTGTTCCCACAGTCCTAGGCTGTCCCATCTCAGCCCTGACTATTCTGTCTTGCTGTCTGGTGACACACCTATATCCCCTCTGTCCTGTGAGTCCTGTAAAGGCAAGGCCAAGGCTGTGTGGTCCCCACGGTACCCCCAGCATCACTAGCTCAGGGCCAGGCACAGAGCAGGCAGCTCACCTGACTGAGGCCCAGGTGTTTGCTGACGTTTTCCGACAGGTAAGCCATGTCTCCCTCGGCGGTGAGCACCATGACGAAGCCCTCCAGGGCCTTCAGGTAGCAGGCATCCAGTGGCTCTCCCCCTGCTCCCACCTGGTTCCACTCCCCTGGTGCCCGGGGCGGGGAGTGGGAGGGTCAGTCAGTCCTGGGCCCACTGCAGCCAGCCTCCCTCTCCTTTCCTCACTGAGAGGAACTTACAGGTATGTCCAGGTGGGTGGGAGTACCTCTCCTAGTGGCTTGGAGTCCCAAGCTTTGGAATTAGGAGCAGGGCCTTTCAGGAGACAGAATTCTAAGGGAGTGTGACTTCCAGGAAGGCAGATCCCTAAGAAGACGCAACACCAGGGGCCCAAATTCAAGAGGGCCAGGACCTAGGGGAGTCAGACTTCTAGCTTCCCAGAATTCTCAGAGGACAGGACCTTCCAGATGGGCAGAATCATAAAGAAGCAGAGACTCCCAGGGGACAGAATTCTAAGGGTGCAGTCTCCCAAAGAAGTAAAATGCTGTGGGGCAGAGAAGTCTAATGGGCAGAGCCTGCCTGAGAGTAATTCGATTTCCTCCATAATAAAACCTTTCCAAGGTCTTGGGAGTCCAGGTGCGCAGGGGAGTGGGGGTGCGGGGGAATCCTGCAGAGTGGAATTCTAACTGGGTGGAAATTCAAGGGAATGGCTAAGGGAACAAGCTATACAACCGGATGGGAGGGAAGAGGAACTCTCAAGGAATTAAAGCTGGGCGGTGATGCATCCAGGAAAGTCTCCTAAGGCAACAAATCTGAAGGTTGAGGGGCCTCAGGCGGCTAGAGCCCTCGCTTTGAGTTCTAAGGAGGGGGGGCTTTTCAAGAGCGCATCCAGGGGGCGGGGCCTTGCGAATGATAGACTACTAAAGGGGTGGGACTTCCAGGAGCACTGGGCTCCGACTGGCCCTGCACTTGAAGAGGCGGGGCCTCGCCAGAAGAGCGGATTCCAGGGAGGTGGGGCTCCACCGGGAAAACTCCACCAGGGGGCGTGGCCTCGTCGGGCTCAGGCTTCCCGGAGGAGGAGCCTCCCGGGGGCTGGAATTCCAGGGGCGGGGCTCACCTGCGGCACAGAGGCGGTGCATGCGCAGGTAGCTGATAGTGAGGCGCATGATGGAGGCTTTGTCCAGGTGGGCGCTGACGCCGCGCGCGAAGGGCAGCGTGTGTGCCAGCTGGTACAGCACCTCGGTCTCCTGGCTGCGCCGGCTGCGGGCCGCATCCCGGGACTTCTCCTTGCGCAGCTCGGTGCTGGACCTGCGGGCATGGGCAGCGTTCACTGGCGGAGTTCCGGGAAGGGAAAGAGATGGATGGTACCAGCAAGTGGGGCGTTTGGAGCCCGGGCTCATCGGTCTCGCTGTGTGGCGTTCTGTGGTCTGGAATGTTACAATCTGAGCCCTCCTAGCCCTGGGTTTTACCTGTTCTGGTGCCAAACCATGCTGCCCTCCTGGCGCCTCGCTCCTTTCTGTGGTATGCGTCGGACCGCTCTGTCCCCTCCCTGACTTCTATGCAGTTTATTTCCCGAGCCGGGGACGCCCGGGGGACAGAGAGGCCTCCTGATGGGAGGGGGATGGCTGAGCTGGCCAGGGGCCAGAAGAGGGAGGGAGCTTGAAGATAGCTGGAGCTTCCCAGGTCCCCTGCCCTTCAGCCTCCGGGAGCCCCCTGCACTGCCCTTTCCCCTCCTCAGTGAGCTGAGTCCTCAGAATCTTGGAGCAGAGATATCTCAAAGTCTAAGGAGGCACCAATAGGGGCCCTAAGGGGCCGCCCGCCAGGGTGACACAGCAAACCAGCCCCTGTTTCTGCCCAGCAGATAGCTCTTCACCCTCTACCTTTTAATCAACTTCAAATACCTGGGCTGGGTTGGGGGGATGGATACTGTTTTGATGGAAACATCTGCCACGTATCCGGTTTTCCTATATCAGTACCTGTGCCAAGTGGGAAACCCATGCAATGCCCAGACAACTCTCAAGGAAGCAAATCCATTATCCCCATTGAACAGACCAGGAAACGGAACAGCGAGGTGCAGCACACTTGCTGCTGATGTGAGGCCAGGGATTGAACAGGGGTTTGCCTGCTCTCCTAAGATTTCTCTGTTTTATGCCCCTGGATTTATGTTCAAGTTTTAAAGTGTTTCACCCTGTTTCTGCCACCATCTTTGAATTCAAACTCCATGTCTATCTGAAGCTGTAGTTTGGCTTTTGAATAAAAAATTAAAGGATATCTTGCTTCTTGTATTATATATGTAGTCTTATCTACATTTATAATATTGGCAAAAACCATTCCTAATAAGCAGCCATCAACTGCTAAGCATTTTGGGTCTGACGCTGCAGGTATTCTGCTGGGTGCACTCATGACATCCTCAGGGGATCTCTAGAGGAAAGCTTTTAGACTTCCATTTTTTGAAGGGAACATTGAATCTGGTGAAGTCCTTTGCCCAAGAAGTCAGAAGGCCAGTACCTTGCTGAGCTGGGATTTTAACCCCAGCACTGAGGTTCCAAAATCTTCAGTCTTTTCTCTGATCCCCTCCTTGGGACCCCCCACCTCACCCCCAATGAAGCAGAATATCTAGGAGGGGAGGCTGTCCCTTCCTAAATTCAGGGGAGCTGAGGTCATTTCTGGGGTGGCATCAACCCCACCCCCTAGCATGAGGGGTGCAGAGGAGATTTCTGGTCTGGTTGCAGAGGGAAGAAATGCACTCAGTTCAAGAGAGTGGGAGGCACAGAAGGGGGCAGGCTGGGTTGAGGGTTGGAGGGGGTGAGAGATGGTCCCCTTCCCCTCCCTCTTGGCTGGCGAGGGTGGGGGGCAGGGGCCTCAGTCCTGCCTGCCCAGAGGACATTCCGTCCTGTACTGTTCTGTTCCAGCCCTGTTTGTCTTCCTGCCCAGAGGGTGGGGGTGGGCGGGCCTCCCTGAGCTGGGGGCCCTGACAGAGGGAACAGGGAGTGGGAAGATGAACGGAGGTGGGGCACTCGCCCCACCTCCCAGGCAGCTGGGTTCCTAATCCTCTCGGTGGCAGGCTTCTTCCTCCATAGAAGGAGCCAGCTGGTGGCTGCAGAAGGACCTCCTTCCAGCTCCCAGTCTGTTCTCCGGATGTTCTGACGGGAAGTGGGGGCCTCACTCTGGGTTTCTGGCTTTTCTGGCCTTACAGTTAGAGTGGAAGCCAGTTCCTTGGGTTCGGGGTTCCAATCCCAACTCCACTACTTATAAACTCCGTGGCTTTGGACAAGGTGCACGGACCCCGAGGGCACAGTAATGGAACCCACCTTGTGGGGTGTTTTGAATTTTAATGAGTTGATATATATCAAGGGCTTAGAAAACTAGATCTGACTATTGGTTAGTGCTAAATAAAGGTTAAACTTACTCTCCCTTGGTCCACGTGAGGGATGGAAGGCTGGTGCACTGGGGGAATCTGTGGGCTTAGACAGTAACTCTGGTAGGTGCCATTATGTGTGTGGCTTTTACACGAGCACTCTGGGAGGAGGACTAGTAACGTTGAGAATCATAATGTGAGCTTTGGAGCTAGAGACCTCACTAAATCCTCCCAACAACCCCCTGGGGCAGAAGTGAGCTCCCTTCATAAAAGGAAGCAGCAGAGCTGGAGCCGTGGAGTCCCCACCGGACCAACCCAAGTGGCATCCCAGGGTGAGGGCAGGGGGCTGCTCATCAACTCTCAGCTCGCTCAGCCACTCCTTAGTTAACCCACCCTGTACCTGGACCTTCCTTCGGGTTATTCTGATGTGGAAGCAGGTCCTGGGAGGTGATGAACTTGCCTGAGGGCACACGGCTCTCAGAAGCTGAGCCAGGTCTGTCCACTGCCACCCAGAACTCTGACTTGAACTCAGTTTGTTGTCACCTGTCAGGAGTTCTGTCCCCTCAACCTTTTCCTCACTGGTTTCTCAACTTGGTCTGGGGTGGGGAGGAGGAGGGACGCCTCCCATTTCCCAGGATACGAAATTGGAGATCAGAGAGGCAGACACTGGCCCAAGGCCACACAGCTAAGAAGTGGGTGGGCCTGTGCCTTTCAATGCTCTTCCTCAGTGGGGGTGTCCAAGGGACCCCTCCCATGCTCCTCTTTGCCTGGTGGCTTCAGTCCCTTCCCCCTGTCCCACTGCTGCCGCCTCTGGATCTCCTCAGCTGGCCCCATGCCCAACCCTGGTCCAGCCCCTTGGCACTGGGCCCAGCCCGAGACGTGCTGCTGGAACCCTGCCACCCTTCCCCGTGTTCCAGCCAAGAACAGGGGGTGGGGCCAGGAGGCCCCAGGGTGAGGCCTGAGAAGGGGGACAGGGTCGGTCCTTCCCCCCACCAAGAGGGAGAGAAGCCCACCTCTTCCCACCCTGAAGGACTTAGACCCGAGAGCAAAGACCTGACAAAAGTAGGGAGCCCCCACCCCACATTCAGGGCTCCTCCTGGGCTCTCCTGGTTCTCTGGGTATGGAGGGGGGCTCACAAAGCCTTTGTGGACTGGGCGGTGGCCGAGGCTTAGGTTTTATCTGGGCAGGGACCCTTCTTGGCACTGCTCAGAGGGGACCTGAGAGGCCAGAGGCAGGATTTGGGTTTGAGACGGAGCTTGGGGTGGGCGTTGGGGGAGTCTCTCTGACCCCAACTTTGCTTGTTCTCAAGGACATGGTAATCCCGTGGGGTGCTCAACCCCAAAGTCCTATCTCCTCGGGCACCCTTGACCTCCGTGGGCACCAGATGGTGTGCCCGTAGGGGACTTCCGGAGAACATCTATGCCCAGGGGTGGCTGCAAGTGCATCTGGAAGAAGGGAAGGGGGCAAGAGGGGCCCACTCACCATCACCCCCTTTGGCTGAAGTGCCATTCTGGGGGCGCAGGACCGCTGGAGCAGAGCCGGGATCGGGGTGCGAGTTATGAGTGGGTGGTGTGCGGAGTGGGATGACACCACAGGAAAGGGCTGGCCTTGGGTGGCGAGGGGGCCCCCACCCGGCCAGGAGGGGGCGCTGGGAGGGGCAGGGCCACGGGCTGGCCCAGAAGGGGTGGGATGGAGTTCCCTGGTGGGCCCAGAGCCAGGGACTGGAATAGACTGGGAGAGAAGAGAGCCTGGAGGGGGGTAAAAAAACTTAGGGGTGTGGATGGATCTAATCAGACCTTTGAAGCCAGGGAGGAGGGAAGCCGTGAGGCTTGCTGAATGCCTCAGATTGGATAGGAAAACCAAGGACCTGGGACGTTATCTGGGATCCCATGGAAACCTGAGAGTGGTCCCAGAGCATAGGTTGCCTCTCTCTGCCCCAGCAGCTCTGCACCTGCTGGGTGATGAACCCTAGCTGAGACCTGAGCAGGGGGTGCTCCAGTTAGCTTGTGTGGGGGGGTCTCCTGTTGAATCAAGCACAGTGCCTTGCCATAGGCTCTCCCCAAAATAAGGCTTGGGTGTGGCCCTCATCCCTCAGTACCCCAGGACTGGTGGGGGGGGTAGTGGATGAATGAGGAATGGGGTCAGACTTTGGGAAAAGGGTCATGCTTGTTCCCCAGTTATGAGGGGGATGACGCTACTATTTAAAAGGATACCAAAAGGCTTCTGGGAAGGATCTCAGGCAGCTTCTAAAACGGACTTTTTCAGCCTATCTCTAGGGGAACCCACGGTTGGGAGACTGTCATTAAGGGTCCAATCAAAGGGGATCTCTCTTCCTTTTGGTACTCAGAAGGCGAATCCCTAAGGGATTCCCTCTATCTGAGAATGGCCAGTTTGTAGGTAGGCACCCATATCCCCTGGGATCCCAAGGGTCGGAGGATGGCTAAGCACCACCTCCATTCTGAGACTTTGGAGACCAGAGGGATCACTATGCAAGGTAGAAAGGTTCCCCCCACTCCCGAAAGCCCGGGCACTGCCCAAACGCAACCACCTCCAATTCCATGTGGATCTCAAGTTTCACCCCAACCAGGCGGGGAAGCGAAGTGGGGTGTCAGGAAATAGGGGATCACGACCCCCAAACCGTTCCTGGTGAGAGGGGCGGGACAGGCAAGGAGTTGGGCTGGAAGGTGAGGCGGGGTGTGCCTCCAACCGCTCGCCCCGGGGCGTCCTTGGCTCTCATCCGCGCACCTCCCCCATCAGGGGTCCCGGGAAGGAGAGCCCCCCAATTCCCATAATTTTGTCCCTAAATCCCAGTACCTTGCGCGCTGCAGCCCCAGTGCCATGACTCGCCCGTCTCGGCTCCCGAGCCCTCCGAGGCCCGGAGCCCCCTCCCCTAGCCTGTGAGCCCCCTCCCCAGCCCCGCCCCCGCCGCACCATTGGCTGCTCTGCGCCCGGCCTGCGCTCTGGTTGGGCTACAAGCCTGTCACTCCCGAGGAGGAGGCGGGCCCAGAGGAGAAGACTTGGACCTCTGAGGGGGGATACCGCGTAACACACACCCCCAGCCACGCCCCTCGCCGTGGACTTCCTCGGCAGCGTCGCCCGCGCGGTCAGCCGGCCGCTCCTTCAGTCGCCGGGCCTCTGAAGTTCCAAGACAGTGCACTCTGTTCTCTGTTCCCTGTGCCAGGGGCCCATCCTCTAACCCCACCTCTGTTCCACCCCTCCATTTCCTACCGCAAGTTGGGCCCCTTTGGCCTCTTTCTTGTCCCTTCTTGTCCTCCCGCCCAGCCTCCTGAAGCCCCTCTTGCTTTCCAATGAACCCCAACCTCCCCTCCTGCTCCCAACTCCCAACCCCTCGCTAATTCCACAATCCTTCCGTTCTTCCAGTCTAGCGCCTCCTCTTACCGCAACCCTACCCCTCCATCCCTCTCCACTGTCCCCTAACCCCTTGGCCTCCCTAACTCTCATGTTCCCACTGATGAATAATTAGTTTTATGTCAAGTAAATATGTTTTAACTCAATCACACCCACTTTAAAAAAAAAAAACGCTTTATTTTATTTTTTAGTTGTAGATGGACACAATATCCCCATTTTATTTTATGTGGTGCTGAGGATCGAACCCAGGGCCCCACACATGGCCCCATACATACTAGGCAAGCGCTCTACCGCTGAGCCACAAACCCAGCCCCATCACACCCACCTTTAAAAGGAGCAGAGAAATGGTAACTTTTTACCAGTCGAGTAAGGAGAATGAGGTACAAAGCCACAGCCTGACCCACTTGGATAAGAGAGTTATGCATGTGAAAGGGATGTTCATGGATCCGTATACAGGATGCAACTGCGGGCAGGGTAGAGGACGCTGTAACAGAAGTCCACAGTGTAGCAGAAGTGACCTTGCTGATCCTTGAACTTAAGAGGCAAGTCCCACCTCTGGGCTTCTGCACATGCAATTCCAGCTACCTGGCTCCCCACCTCACCCCAGTATTCCATTGTTTTCTTTTGGGGAACTACTTCTCTCCTCTTTCAATCTATTTAATTTGAAAAAGGCTGGCCATACCTCTGCCCTCAACAACTCCAGAGAGGGACAGAGGACCCACACCTAGCCAATCAACGTTTGTTTTCCCTGGCCACAGTGATTGGTTCAAGGAAGGCATGTGACTTAACCCTGCCCAGTGAGAACAACCCTGAGACATTTGCTGACACTGTCAGGAAGGAGATTTTTTATTTCTGCTAGAGTTGCCACGCTCCAGCTGATGGGCCTCATGACTGATGTTTAGGGGAAACTGGATCAAACCGAGGGCTTTCAGCATGCTGGGCCCATGCTCTACCACTGAGCTCCACCCCAGCCCGAGGCCTACTGTGTTAACATGTAGATTGTTTCCATCTTTTGGATATTGTAAATAGTGCTGATAAGGACCTGTGTAGGCACACTTGCTTGATACCTGTTGTCAGTTCTTTCCGGAATACACCTAGAGGTGGAATTGTGGGGGCATGTGGTGATTCTGCGTAACTTTCTGAGAAACCACCCAAGTCTATTCCACAGCAGATGCACCCTTTCACAATCCCACCATCCACGGAGCCAGGCTTCCAGTTTCTCCATACCCTTGCCATCACGAGGGCCATAGGCCCCTGTGGGGGAGAGAAGTCCTGCCTCTTCTGCCTTAGGGTGGAGTGTCTGCAAGAAAACCCCCCAGTTCCCAGGGCCCAGAGCTACCACCCCTCATTCTAAACTTCAAGGGTTTCCATCTCTTTTTCTTCTCTGAATGAATGACGAGAAGAGAAGCCTGCTTCCTCTCTTAGAGTGACTGCCATGCCATGGAAGGATGTTGGCTGTGTGTCTCGGGAACTGGGGGAGGGGAGTGTCCCATTGTCTTTAGGCTAGGCCTCTGGTTAGGAGCACTACTTTTGGAGTTTGAGAAACCTGGGTCAAATGCAAGCTCTGTCACTTACATCATAGAGACTGTGGTGTGTGTGTGTGTGTGTGTGTGTGTGTGTGTTTGTGTATTTTTTTTGGTGCTGGGGTTTGAACCAAGGCTGCTTAACCCTTGAGCCACATCCCCAGCCCATTTTAATATGTTTTACTTAGAGACAGGGTCTCGCTAAGTTGCTTAGGGCCTTGCAAAGTTGCTGAGGCTGGCCTCAAACTTGCAATCCTCCTGCCTCAGCCCCCTGAGACGCTGGGGGGATTACAGGTGTGCTAGAGTTAATTAGATCAGGTGTGTGAATGCTAAGCATAGCACCTGGTTTCTGGTGAGTTTGAAGTGTTGGCTGTCATTCACTTGTACGAAGGTCTCCTAAACGCCACGTTTCCCTGTGTGGATGGAGAGGTATATGTGGCACTCATGCAGGGGCCTACCCCCAGCGTGGTGTGATATTAAATAGTAAACTGGAATTGGAGAACATCCCACTAAGTGAAAGAATCCAGACCCAGAAAGTCAAGGGTCAAAATTTTCACTCATAGGTAGAAGCTAGATGAAAATAAGAGGGGAAAAAGTTGTGGGGGAATCACATGAAAATAGAAGAGATCAGTGAAGAGGAGAAAGGGTTGTATATTTTCTGTTGTGTTTGGAAGCTGGAGAGGAAAAATGAACAGCAAGTGCAGGTCTTGGAAATCAAAGGGAGATCAGTAGAAKATAGGGAAGGAACTAGAGGGAAGGATGAGGGAAGAGAAAGGAGAGATATTGGGAAACAATATCGACAGATTATATGCTATCTTGTGTGCCTGTGCAAGTATATAACAATAAATCCCACCATTATGTATAATTATAATGCACCAATAACATGGGAGGGGAAAAAAAGGGAATCCTTGCTGGGGCCTCAGCGCACCAGCGCCCCCTAGAGGAGAATCTCTGGCCGCACTGTGGAGGCCCGAGCTGGCCTCTCCCAGCGTCCTGCACACCCGCCCCCCTGCACATACCTCAGAATCCAGCGAGGTGTGTGTAAATCCACGTGGCTTCTGGTCATCGGCTGCTGCACACGCCCACCGCAAGGCTCTGACAAGGAGAGATCTCCCGGAGCCTGCAGGAAGAATCTGTTAACAGTCACCACGGCTGACATAAATAGCAAGAATTTTGCACCATTTTAATAGACGTTGAGTTTTCCAGGGAAGCAGCCACATGTAATCCAACGGAAAATCGCGCTCCGTCTCAGGCAGAAGCTGCTATTGAGAAATGTCACCACTTCAGAGAGACCTATCACCGACCTCTTATGGTATTTGAGTCGCAATCTAAGCTGGTCACTCTAGTTTAGCTTCTGTCTTGGTTTCCAGAGACACTTGGATTAGTGTTTGGTTCTAGGAGCTGCCCTGAGCTAAGCTGGGCTGTACCTCGGAGCTGTGTACTCAGTGCTTTCTTTCCAAAACCCAAATGCTGCTCTTTTCTTTTCTTTCTTTCTTTCTTTCTTTCTTTCTTTCTTTCTTTCTTTCTTTCTTTCTTTCTTCTTCTTCTTCTTCTTCTTTTTTTTTGCATGATTCTTTTCTAAACTAGGGATAATGCGTTGCAGTTTTTTCCCTCCGAGATTATATGGCAGGTAAATTATGCTGTGTGAATTGCATTTCATAATAATAAAAT